ACTTTGATTACTTAATTCGCCAGAAAACCAGATGAGCTAATCATTTGGCTTAGCCTTAGCCCCCCCACCACCATCCACAGAGACTCAGAGCCACAGTCAGAGCCAAAGCCAGAGACTTTCGGACTTGCCACAACTTTGACTTGAAGATTTTTAATTAAGATAATTATAGTTTGAGGCCCGAAGTACCACGAGATCTCTCTCTCTCTCTCTCTGTCTCTCTGTTCCCAGAGATAATTTTTGTTGCTTGGTTCCGAGTGAGGCAAAACATTTGTTTCTTTTAGTTTTTTGTGTCCAAAATGTCAGTCATTCAAATATTTGTGGGTCGCCAGCGGATGGATGGATGGATGGATGGATGGTATCCTCGAGCAAGGGAAATACAGTGTTTTTTTGTTGCTTTTTGCTTATAGATAAACACAGACGTCAATTAGTTAATATGCTTTTCAAAAAAGAGCAACAACACCATGCTCTGTACGGCAGCAGATCTCTTCTACATATATTCTATATACGGCTCAAAAAGAGCTTGCATTCCCCCCTGTCTGCTGGTTTTGTTGCTTTTTTTTTATTAGCTATTATACAACAAATATATTAGAAATGAGAGACACGAGGCAGCATAGGTGGCTGCGGGCTGCAATAAAAGACAAAAACAAGTTGACAATTCATGGCTTCTAAAGCCGAAGCTAGAGGTACCCTTCTCATGTGCTCCTATTCAATTTAGCCTCTCTCTGGTACTTGCTTTGTTGCAGCTCTAAAACTGTCTTTAAAAGCACAGCACCCTCGACCTTTTTGAGGGTAAAACAAAATGAGTATCAAATCAAATCAAATTCATTGGAAGAAACATTCACAAACACACAATCGCTAGAGGGGGGCGGGGCGTTGGAAACGCGGAACCCACACACAAATCACAAATCAGAGAGAAACACACAAACACTAAAATATGTATATGGTATGGTATGGTATGGGGGCATACATAATATTCAAAAGAAATCGCAACCAAAAAACCAAATTGGCATAAACTACGCCGAAAATAAATTGAAATCTAAAAATGAAATTCAAAGAGCAGCAGCGGCGGCGGCAGCGGCAAACACAAAACACGAAACGAATCAAACACACACAAAAAAATAAAAACAAATGCAAAAAAACCCAAAATAAATTGGAGATGTGTTGTGTGGTGTGTTTCCTTCTTTAGAGAGAACCCCAACCACCAACCCAACTTCCTCCCCCAAGCCCAGTTCCACTAGCTCCTGCGGAGAGGGACAATTAAATTAAATTAAAACAAATACACAATGCAGAAGTAGGAAGCAAAAGGGTGTGAAAAGGGCAACACAGCAGAGTGAAAGAGGGGAGCAGAGAGTAGGTGTCAGATAGCGTAGAAGATTCCCAGTGAATGATGCAGATGAGATCTTTGCTTCAACTCGAAAGAAACTATAAACTATAGAGATCTATAAAATGGCATTAGCTAACAATGTTGCATGCACTCCGAAGTGGATTTAGAAGATAAAGATAACAGTATGTAATAGTTCTATTGCACCAGAAAAATTCATTACACTTTTCTCGAATAAAATTTGAATCTTCTTCGATTTAAAAAAATTTAATTTAATGCATTTTTACATTCAGAGACATAGGAATATTATTCAATTTCGAAACCCTCCCATTACTCCATTTTCATACCGAAAACTCCCTCTCAAAATATACACGAGGTTGATTACGAAGGTTGCCTTTAAAGTTTAAACCTTCTGTAATGAGTGCCTTTTGATGCCCAAGAATGTAGAGATGCTTACGAACAATTTTTTAACTACTAGTTAAAATGCCAGCTCAAAAGGAGACAGAGACAGCGAGAGACACAGTTAGCGCTGGACTTCAAAAAGAAATTAAAATTATAGCAAAACTTGGAGCTGTGCTGGAGCTGGAGCTCCGCAGACAGACAAAAGACACACAAAAAATAAGTAAGCAAAAAAAAACGATACAAAATGAGGCAGAGAGCCAACTGAAAACCTGAAACCAGTTTTCACCTGGAAATTGGTCTGATATTTGTACGTACGTAAGCCAGTAATTGAAGTTAACGTAATTATAAACGTATTGCAGGGCAGCAGCAGCAGCAGCAGAAGCGGCGGCGCGTTGGCTGCCACATAAAAAACGAACGCGAACACGAAAATAAATAAAAAATGTCTTATAATACGAGTCCGAGTCCGAGTGCGAGCGAGCGTGCGATTTCAGTGGAAGCAAAAGAATGGATGGATACGCGCCTAATTTCCCAATTAACATGGAAAAACTTCAAAGGGAGGACACAACAAAATTCATTTACGCTTCAAAAACATAAGTCCGAAAACGTGTCCCCATCGAGAGGGAGTTTTCCCCGTGTGCGAGTGCGATTGCGAATGTGAGTCCAAGTGGAGACATCATATCATCATCGTTCAAGGTTCCTCCTGAGGACATTGACGCGCTTAAGGTCAAGCGAGAAACTTGAAAGCTGCCACAAACGATATCATCATACCCAGCAGCAGCAGCAGCAGCAGCAGCAGCAGCAGAAGCAGCAGCAGAAGCAACAGAAACAACAGCAGCAGCAAGCAAACAGCCAGCGACAACGAAATGTTCTCTTTTTATGGCCATATGCAATCGTCCCATGTATCTGTGTATTTTATTTATATTTTATAGATATTCTCGTGTAAGAACAAAACATTAAATACTCATAGCAAAGGTACTAAAAGATAGTGCATGGGGAAGGGCATGCGGTGTAGTGCTGTTTGAGCACCCCCCTGCTGTTGGGGCAGAGAAACTGATATTCGCGGGAAATAAAAGATAAATTTAAGAACACGCTTTCGACATTTTCACACATGATTCACAATGACTCTAAACATCATTATGAAATACTTTTAGCAGAATAAATAGAATTTTTACTTTAAACAAGAGTTTTAGAGTTTAAATTTTAAACTTAATGGGATTTAAATTTGATTTACTCTGACTATAATTTCTTAAAAATCTAAATGTCTGTTCTTCTCTCAACTCTGAGCACTATGATATTAGTAAGTTAATAAGTCCTTTAAATCCCAGCTAAATCCACTCCCAGTACATTTCGAAATCATATTTATGCTACTCAGATCCACAAAAGTTGAATAAATCATTTGGAATATCTTCAGTTTCTCTTTTCAATCGTTTTTCGTAGACACTTTGCATAAATGGAGAGACCCCGAAACAAGCAAACCATCGTCTATCCCACCCAAAAATCTACAGTTTACTTAGTGGCCTCTCTCTCTGTGTCTCCCTCTCTCTCTCTGTCTTGTTTCTTGTCTGCTAGTGTTTGCTTGTCGCTCTCTCTCGGGTCTCTTATCAGTTGCTTGACAGTGTTTTTTTCAAAACAAAGTCCATTTCCATTCCGATTCCCCATTGTTGGTCACTTTGTGTCGTGTGTTTCGCGACTCTACTGTACAGTAGAGACATAATTTAAAATGCCATTATCTAATCGTTGCTTTATGGCCCTCTAAGAGTGTATCTGTGTGTGTGTGTGTGTGTGTGTTGGTGGTGTTTGTGTGTATTAGGTGGGGGGCATTTATTCTGCTGCTGCTGCTGCTGCCTTGGCGATAAGCCTAAGCGTAGCATTTTCTTAGTTTCCTCTCCTATTTTCTATACCCTATGAAGAGAGGGTATAACGAACATGATTTTTAATAGAAATTAAACATTTGAAAATATATATCATTTAAAGGAAAAACTGTACAGAATTCCATTAAAACTGTGGGAGGTTTTCCTAATCTTTAGCTTCTCCCAAAATCCATCATTTCTCTATTTAAATTCTTGTTAAGAGGCGCCGCGCCGCAAAAAGAATAGAAATACAAACACAGAAACTATAAAAAGTGGCAATGTTTGAGGTGTTCTTTATTTTTCTCGTAATTTACTTTTTGTTAAACCGTAAAAAAACTGGTTTAACCTGTCCGAGAAAAAAACACACACACACACACTCACAAAAAAATTGCTGACAGCCGAGTTAATAGCTGGCCAAAAAAGACCAACAAAAATCTAGCAAACAATAAACTAATTAAATCAAACGCTGAAATACGTCGCAAAATCATCAAGAGAACACCTCCACTTCCAGCTCTATTTGTTGGTGCTCTTTTTCTTGTAAAAATAGCTGATATTTGAGCGGCGATTTCATTGAGAATCTAAATAAAAATAAAAGTGTTCTCAAAATAAATACATTTCAGAATCATATGCAAAACTCACGAGCAGCAAACTAAACGAAACGAAACGCAACAATAACAAAAGCAAGCAGCACACTGGACACGCTCGTGTGACAAATGTATCTGTGAGATACGCGCAAAAGAAACCTTTCGTTGGATCGCCCAAAGAACTGAAACGGAGACGTAGACGCAGTCGTAGTACCTCACAGACCCCGAGACAGTTTACAATACTCTCGTATTCTCATATTCTCGTGTTTGTTTTTGTATTAGCAAAATAATTCTAACTGAAACTCGAACGAAACGGCGACGGCGACGGCGATGGAGTTGAGAGTCTTCGAACGGAACGACTCGACTCTCGACTTCTGCTCACGTTTTCTTATGTAATAGGGGCCGCCCCCCACCGCCTCTGACGATGGCCTGCACTTCTATTGAATACGAATACGAATACTATTCGTCGTCTGATGATAAGCCTCTTGCCAAAGCAAATTGATTATGACAAAATGTTGGGAAATGGTTGGATTCTAAGGGAAAATGTTGCCACAGCACAGACATTGAGTTGAGAATTGCAGTTGCTGAATCTATCAAGGAATTACACAAGATCTCTGTATATCATTTGCACGAGTAATTTCTAATAACTTGAAGATTGGAATCGGGATTATATTGTGTAATTGTTGTCTTAGCTGAAGATCATTTGTTATCATATTAGACAATGTTTACACTACTTTGATTAATAGTTCAACTGATCTAAGCAGGTTTCTTTTCATTTGTTTCTTATAAATAAATCATAATTATCACGCTTTTTAATAGATAATACAATTCTTTTTTTTTTACCTTTTTAGAGTAATTATTTAGATCCAAAGAAGGAGTAATAATCCCATAGATCTATTAATCTATGAAAAAATGCGTTAATCCTTTAAATTTGACTTAGTTTTAGGCGACATTTTATACAGGATTGAATTGATTTTTGCACATTTATTTGCACTATTTTTGTTGTGGATTATTTATCAGGCGTTTTCCAACACTTTCTATCAGGCAACTGGTGGCCTTTTAACAACTGTAATTTTTATATATTTTGTTGTATACAACTCGCAAAAAGTGAAACCGTTGTGTGTATAAATATATTATTTCTCGATTTTTTTTTTTTTGGTTTATTTTAAATATATTTTTTCAATGACTTTTGCAAGGCTATATATTTTATTTATGGTTTTTTTATATTTGTATTTATTTTTTATTTGCACAAATATCGGGTACATATATGGTATATAGATCAAGATCTTGAGGGGGGAAATTATATAGTATTTTATCAGAGAAACTGTGGGTGTAAAAAACTATTAATATTTTGTTGAATTTATTTCGAATATTTCCATAGATTAAAATTCACATTTGAGCGGAACGACATGGAAACGAAACAAAATATAAATAACGAACAAACGAACGGAGAAAACAGAAACGACAGAGAAACTGGCGATTACGAAACCCGAACGCGACAAAAGAGAGTCGCCTCCAAAAGAGAGGCAAGCAAAGAGAGAGTGGAGAGCGCCACTGGAACGTTGGGGCGGTGGAACGTACGCCACACAAGAAATTCCGCAACAAAAACGAAGAAAATTGTGCTCTAAATTTTGTGGAATAAACTAAAATATCTATGAATTTTTATGAAGTTTTTCTTAATTATTCAGAATTTATAGTTCAAAGATTTCAAAGATACTTTTGAAAAGTATCTGCTGCTCCTCAAAGCAAACAACACGCACGCACTCACACACGCACACAAACACACACGCGCACTTTGCTTTGCTTTTCTTTTCTTTTTTGTGGGCTGCGCCAACTTTTTTTTTCCTTTGCTATGTGAAACGCACTTTCAAGATATTTTTGTATCTTTTAGTTGATTTTTAGTTATTATTATTCAGAAAAGATAAATAATGTTGGAGCCAGATCGAGGGAGCGCGACGCGGGGGCCACACCGCACGGCACAAGACACGTCGACAATGGGGGGAAACGGACGGAAGAGAGCAGTAGTCCTCTCCGCGGCCCAGCGATTTATAAACACATTTCAGAAATATTGCATTTTGCGGATGTATTGCACTTTTAGCTTGTGTACCGTAGATTTATCTATTTCTTTGATTCAACAATACCCGCAATTGCCGCCGAACCGAAATCGAGATCCAAAGAAATATACGTTATCCAAAGATTGTACTTGGGGGTTTTGTTCGACGACGGACGAGGCAACGCAACGCAGCAACCGCTCGATTCAAAAGTTGAAAAAAGTTTGGGGCCACAGTAGCAGTACGACCCAGCACCCGACGCAACAATGAGCAGCACGCTCTCTTTCGCTTTGGCTTTGTTTCGTTTCTCTTCGTTTCGCTTAACATGACCCGAGTCTGTATCTTCTTGTACAAACGAAGCAACGCTCTCATGTTAAAACAACTAAAAACTGTTAAGCAGAGTAGGAAACTCTGTTAAGTTTGAATTAGAGGACGTACAGGCATGTTAAGACCAGCTGTGTGACGTAGTACTTTACAGTGGAGCTCTCTCTTCGCCACTTTTGGCGCTCTTTGCTACTACCGCTGTTGTTGCATATATTGTATATCTTTACTCCAGCGCCTTGATGGGCTCCAATCAGAGCGGGATGACTAGCTGGTTGTCGCTTTTGAAGAGAGAGAGAGAGACTGCTGGCACTGCCGGCATTTTCGCTTGGGCTCCAACACAAATGAGAGAACAACAGTGTTTTTGTTGTGTCTTTGCAGAAATTTAATGGCGGCTTCTTGAAAAACAAAAACACACAAAGTCCATGGCAAAGGGGGAAATGTTGAAAACCCCAATCAGGAAATGGGAAAAACTTTTGAAATTGCATTTCGATTGATAAATAAAACTTCTCAGAAAGTGGTTAGATCTCTAAATATAGGAAAAGCCTACAATAGGAGAATCAATAAGGGCTAGAAATACTTCAAACAAATTTAATAAAAACATTCAGAATGTTGGAAAACATTGCAAAGATATTAGGAAAGTGTGTTTTATTTTTTAATTTATGATACATGAAAAATTAATCACATCCCAAATCGCTAAAAATATCTAAAAAATGGCTCCCTTAAACAAAAATTAAAAACAACATCAAAACACAACGAACACACAACAAAAACAAAATTGTGATGACGAAACACATGTTGTGTGTTTCGACCCAAGACCTAAGAGAGAGAGAGAGAGACAAAATCACGAAGAGAGAGATTAATAGATGCGAAGAGAGAGCACAAGGCACTCCTCTCTTTTGTTGCCTTGTAGCCGTCGAACTACACGCAAAAACAAAATTAAACACAAAAAATAAATAGCAAAAAAAAAGTACGATGGAAAAGCTCTCTCGGAACGAACGTCGTCTACTTCGCCTTCAATTTCAATAGCACAGCACCATAGCCATAGCCAAGCACTAGAGAGCACCACAAACACACACACACACACACACACACACACACACTTGCATACATGTAGCCACCTCTGACGCTACAGATTATATATATGTATATATATCTACTTTATAATATATATTTTTTTGTATTTGTATTTGCAGCTATTTAGCTACTTTTTATGGCAATTTGTGCTGTGGTTTTGTTTTAAGAATAAAATGCATTTTATAGCCGAAAAACTTGACGAAATGTGGTTTCAAGTGGTTGCTCGTCACAGAATCTCCTCTCAAAAGTAGTTCTATTCGAAAGATAAATCAAAGTTATGGCCTGTCATCAGTGGTACAGTGCAGGCCATTAAATATGGGATTTTGTATCATACTTTTGGCATATGGAATATCTTATTGCACTCCACTTACCTTTAAAACTTAATTTAAGATATCTGCAAGAGAAGAAAAAAATTGTTTTTAAATTAAGAAATGATGAAATTAGATTGGAATTCTTTAATCGCTTCTCTAGGGTTATTTTTCTTACATTTAAAATGCCTTTCAACACAGAACAACACAAAGTAGAACTCAAAATTCTAAAATATTCCCCAGCGAATGACATCATTCCTGAGTTCTCAATTAGCCCTTCTTCAAGCTCCATTATTCCACCGTCTTTCTTCTATTTCGTTCCTTATAAATACATATGCCTTCATTTTCTTTTGAGCAATTTGGCAAGGCAAAAGCCAAAGATTCTTTTCCGGAAAACCCTCTAATCTTTTGCCGTTAACTCTTTGTCAACACTTGGGATATTCTATTCTTTTTGTTTCGAGTTTTTCCAAGCCTTAATTGTGCATGACAATTGTACATTTTGTTGGCTTTTTGGCTATTCGGCTATTGTGGGGGGGGGGCCCTCCTAATGTGGTTGATAATTTTATGCACATAATTGCCCATCCACTGAAACAACAAAAAAAAGCATTCTTGCCAAACTACAACCAGCCGCCACATCAAGTGGCAAAGAGGCAACCCAACCACCAAGTGGCAGTGACGGCAAGAGGCAAGAGCCATCGTGCCACTTTAATTGCTGACAGTTTGAAAACTTTATTTTTCTGCCATTTTCTGTTTTTCCACCATCAGTTTTCGGTGTATTTTTGTTAATGTTGCAAACAATTAAATATGCAGAAATATGACAGATACTTGGTGATGATAATTGGTCCTACCCCCACACCCCTCTCAGCTGATAGTTTTCCGCAAATCTAGCAGCAAGTTTTTGGTTTTACCTGTGGCTAAAACCACCAATAAATGGCCAAGAAACATAGACAATTATAAGCAAAAAGACCGCAGCGAAGCCCATGAAATACGAGAGTATTAGAGCCCATGCCCAGGCGGCCGCCATAAAGCAAACTCTAAAAATAAAAATCAAAAACCAGTAGTTGGAAACGTGACGCCATCAATTTCGGTGTCTTGTCTGTGCAGAGACGATCCCCTCTCCGAAAGACCCTCAAAATCAAAGTTGGGGAACCCAAAAAAAGAGCAAAAAGCGTTTGGCCAAACTTTGAGCAAAAATGATTGTTTTTCTATATTTCTTTTTTTTTTTGATTGTTTGCTGTTTTGCCAGGGCCTTTGCCTTGAATTTGTTTTGCGGAAAACATTGAATGGAGTTTAAAAATAAATAAATTCAAGTGCATAATTTGCAAAGTGAAACGACAGTCGACAGTCGGCGCTTGCAGTATATGCAATTTTCTTGAATTATATATTTATTATTATAAATACTTTAAATAAAGAAATATTATTTATTAAATATTAAAAAAAATATATACATATCTGTAATAGTTTTTATATTAAGTATTTTTTAGTATTTGAAAAGTTTTATGATAAATTTTTAACTTTTTTTATCTAATCAGTTCTACACCCTAATCTTTAGTTTTTAAATGTTTTTCGCTCTCGATTATCGAATATTTCATGTATTGTTTGTGACACGCGTTTGAAATTTGTGCTAACAGAACTTTCCATTTGGCATTTCATAAATATTGACTCTCTTTCTATTTGCTTGAGTTTCAACACACAGACACCTCCCTCACACCTGGCTTTGCTTCTACTACGCTTTTTTCTATACTTTTTTTTTCTCTTAATATATTGTTCGTGCTGTTTGCTCTAAAATACAATACATACAAACATATATGTATGTAGGTTGTATATATATATTTATTATTGTTCATATATCGTATGGTGTATGCATTTCTTCTCGTGTTCGTATTTGCCGTGTTCGCTTTTTCTGGGTTTTCTCTGTGTCTGCTCTCTCGGGGTTCGAGCTTTATATTTAACACATTTTCTGATATAGTATTTCGTATTCTTTTGTCTTATTTGGATTCTATTTAATGCTGATGTCCACACTTTCGACAGGTGTTGCAACCGTGAAATACATACTACATACATATATAGCCAACCAAAAAAATTCACTCGACTTCTACTACTCTTTTCATTCTGATTAAATTATGCACAACTTATTTTGCTAGTTCTTTTCTCTGGGAAAACTCATCTCAAAATGAAAGGTTCTTTCGGTAGCTGGAACACTCAAGGAGATTTTCTGAAGAGTTCTTTAATTAGAAGAGTTAAGGAAGAAATTTCCACTGCCAACAGGCTACAAAGCTACAACAACACCGTTACACAGGTACACACAAGCGGCGACACGTGCTTTACATGTAAAATTGACAAGGTGACAAGATGGATGAAGGGGGGGGTGGAGCGGCAGGGCAAGGGGAGGCTCAGAGAGTG